TTTGCTGTTTTGCTCACCTTTTTCTGTTTTCCTCTTTTGTTTCCTGCTTTTGCTGCAACCCTCCCTCACCAGTGTCTTTCCTCTAAACTCAATTTCTCTCTGTTTTATCCTTTATCCAACCTTCCTTCTCATTTGGCTGTTGCTGAGCTAGTTTGACAGATATCCAAGAGGAATAAACTGGAGTTCCTGTGGTGGTAACGTGACAAACACATCCGCAACAAAACATTTTTTTAATGAAAATTAAAAACTGCAGTCCAGATCTTTTTGCTTAAAGGTATACTATGCAGGAATTATTGGCTACTACTTGTAGATAGTATCGCCAGCAATAGTTGAAGCCAACCACAGCTTTGTCCGCTTGGTATTTTGCCTCACTATATTTGCATTTTTTTGGCACAGTGTCCCTAATTTTTGCAGCTCCCTCTTGGATACGTGCTGCCTACGGTCTGGCACCTGGTCGCTACCTTTTTTTAAGTCCACTGTGAAAATCCCAAACATAGCAAAATAAGAGGAAAATACAGGCAGAGGGCAGAGTCTCTGCAGAAAAATACACAGCCACAGACTTCTAGTGAGTCATGAATAATGATTGAGAGGGATTACGTCTCTGTAAGTATATACATTGCTTTTTAGGAACACGCTGCCTAGTATATCTTTAAGGTTGTGGTGGATTTGGAGCCACTCATACCCCCTGACATGGAGAAACACATGCACTCAAACACACAGAGTGGGTGCAATGTGTGTTTTGGAAGACAGCAAAGGACAAATGCATGTATCATACCTAGCAGGGAAGGTAGAGGGAGGCGGGGAACTCGGTCCTGTGAATAAAAGAGAGCTGTCCAATGATGTGTGAAAGAGAAGCTGCAATTTGTCCTCTTTCACCACCCCTCCCTAAGATATCAAGCACACATGTACACACACACACACGCACAGGTAGATGCACACACACATAGCCCCGGAGAAACGTACAGTGCCCCAAAATGCACCAACAAGGCCTGAGAGTAGAATAGCACTCCAATATGCTCGTCCCATTTGTCTCAATCGGCCGGCTGTCCGCTCAGTCAGTCTTAGGGTCTCAATGGGAATACAGAATAGAGTGCAGCTTTTTACACTTACTCAGCCTCACTGTACTCAGTATCTCTCTGACCTTTGTGGCCTTGCTGCATGGGCTTGATACAACATATCATTTAGTGAAATTCAACAACAGGCCGTCGCGAGTCTCATTCACACTAAACCTCTGTTGATATCTACACAAAGTATAATGACCCAAGGCCGCTGGATTCATCTTGTGTTCAAAAGGGTGGGTTCTTTTACGAACCTCTAAGGTCAGAGTCTCATATTTTATGTCTTTAAGCAAGTGAGATTTTACCTTAAAGGCCAGCGGAACAGATGCTGCAGTCTGAATCCATTCAATTTAGTTCAGCTCAATTCAATTCATTTTAGTTCAATTCAGTTCACTTCATTTTAAGAAGTCCCACAAGGGGAAATTAGAAGGCCAGAAGTGCAAGCATGCAACATGAAATACTCAATGGTACTTGCGATGCTAAATGAATTTATGTACTGTATAATTCAGTGTTTAATAATGATAATAAAACTGCTGGACATCTCGCCAGTTTGTATCATTCCCTTCCTGAAATTATCCTGTATTCATTGTGGGCTCTGACTGGCTAAGTACAAAGAGCCCATACTGGTCATTATTGATCCATTAATTGGAAAGTGGCCCATTGTAGTGAAAGGGCTGGGCAGTTATAGACAGACAGGAAGAGATGGAGGCTTAAGATCAGCCTGGACTCAAATTGGCAGGAAAGAGGTTTCTATGAAGTGGCGTAATGTGCTTTTTATTGGCTTGAAGGGGGTGGGTGGGTGGTAGATGGATGTAGAGCACATGCTACTTTAAGTCAGGGCTGAGGTGATATGGAGAAAACCAAATATCATGACTTTTTTACCTTGATATCGACATTACAACAATGTTGCAGGGTTGACTGTTGATGCTTTCGCAAAATACTTATGCTATGAGAGTTTTAATAAGTGATCATCAGTGATGCGGATGTAATTAGTTTTTCCAAGGCAACCACCAAAAACCCTTACCTTAGCTGAACTGCTTTTTTTGCTGTGAGTGAACTCATAGATCTGAACCTTAAAATCTGCATAGAACTGGAAGATACAGGGTACTTGCGGACTGGACACAAGGGACCCGAGATCCGTGTGGGTACATTAAACAGGAGAAATCACAGGGATTACCACCAGCTGGTCCAGGAGCTTCACCTGGATGATGGTCTGTTTAAGGCTTATTTTAGGATGAGTCAGGGACCGTTTGATTATCTACTGTCAACCTAATTACGGTTGAAAAAATGTACGGAAGTAGTTGAGGCTACAATTTTGTCAGAAATGTCTCGCAGCTTGCCTAGAGAGTGAGCTAACGTTAGCGTAACACAAGCCGTCTATGCTAGCCACCACTGAAGGCCTGCCTGTCAGTGGGAAAAAACGGCGATGAAATTGGGTGCTTTTCCACTCTGAGTTGAAGTTTTTCCAACATGAGGCATTGAGAACACTACTGCAAAAAGGCGGCGCACGTAGAGTGGAAAAACAAAACACTTTACTCCCATTGAAAACCGTTACAAAAAGCCACCCCAGGCTGCTAAAACACACTTTGTCTGATTGGGGTGCAAGTGGATAAAGGCAAGAGCAGCGAAAACAAGTCTGGTAAGTTCAGAAAATTACCTCACTTAACTGTAATGTAGCCGTAAAACCAGGAAAGGACAACAGGTACGATATCCAAAATCTAATATCCACGCTCATATTGATATATTATTGACATATTGCCCAGCCCTACTCTAAGTGTGATGCATGTGGTAATGAAATACTGCAGTCACAAATACCGTACTATGGGATTCAGTGGCGTATTTCCATTTAACACACTATCAAAGTACTCTAAACCAGTGGTTCCCAACTGGTCTTGCCACGGGGTCCAGATTTCTCCTTAGTCATTAGCTCAAGGTCTACACACACATATTCAGCATCATACTTGCCTTTGGCCATGTTGTCAAGCTAGTTTGCTGTCTCTGTTAAGTCACTCACTCTACCTCTACACACTCTCGTGTCACCTGGGGTCCATTCAGAATGGACCCGCAACCCACTTTTGGACCACGACCCACCAGTTGGTAACCATTGCTCTAGACCATTGTCATTTCAAGTTTATTTCATTACATTATTTCATAGTACAGCTGGTGATGAGAAGGGTAAATTATTTAAATCTATTGTGATGAACACAAAATATTCTCCGCACAAGGATAACATTCCGATATTTGCTTTATGTGCACAGGTGTGGAAAGTAAATGAAATCCTATAACAATCAAACAAAACCTTTTTCCGTTAATGTCTTTTCATCCTGATCAGATTCAGCGCCAACAGAGCCGAGTTGATTGAAAAGTATGTCCAAGGACGAGTCCCTGGTCATAAAAGTACAAGGGGCACATCAGTATAAAGACTTCCATCTTCCCTTTTTGAGAAACTCGGTCTGTTATCATTTCAATGCCGAACGATTTCAAGCATTCATTCTCTTCTCACTCCGTGGTCAGATTCCAGCCTTTGATATATTCTGTGGTTGTTTTCTTTTAATCTTGGCGAAGGCTGAGGTGGAATAAAGTGTTTAGGTAGAGATAAAGGTGTTGGCAAAAGCATGGAAGGTCAAAGTACTGGGTGGCCTGTCTGACCTTCACACACCCTTTTTTCATACAGAGCCACCGCAGAGCACGGATGACATTGAAATACTCTATCGACTGTGAGTCAAGCTGTGCATGTGAAAAAGCCTGGCACAAGGAGACATTACTCACTAAACATGACATTTTACTGCTATCAATTCAGGACAGCGAGTTGTGTACTACATAGGGTAATTATTTGTGTTGCTGTGATGTATACCACTACAACAGCATGAAAGCTATTTTTTCTCCAAGCCATTTGTTTCCACCCTTCCTGCCTCTACCCAACAGGGACTTTGACATATTCCTGTAATAATTTTAACAAAATATGAATGCATTAGTCTCTTTCTACCTATGTGTTCTCTGTGGCTTGTACACCTGATTGCTTTTACATTAGGTGTTTTCATTATTAGTAAGGCTGACAGGCACTTCTGTAAATGCCAGAAAGAAACTAGGATCTTTGTGACCTTTTAGATCAATTGACATGATTAAAAAGCCTCATATACCGTACTTTGATATAATTAACGACAGCGAGAGACAGTGCTTTCCAGTGCCAATGTGATTGATCCAGTCTGTAATGCACTGCTGCATACAGTGCAGAGGATTGAAGACTGTTTGTGCAGTTTATGCACTGCTTTGTACCAGTATTCCATTATACTGATGTATTTGTTATACGTGCCATACTGTTTCCTTTATATATACGACTTTAGTGTGTCTGTGTGTTCAAGCGTGTGCAGCATGTGTGCTTTTCCTATTGATCCACAGACTGTAGCATGAAGTCCCCCTGTGTATGATCAGGTAGCCCCATATCGAATAAACACCACACGGTTCAACACATACAAGCCCCAGTTCCTCACAAACAATTTCTCAGATTCCGGAGAGAAAAACAAAAGTGTCGAAGCTCTGGAGAATTTCTCACGGAAATGCTGTGAAAAGAAATTGAATTTTAATTTCTGTACAAATAGTGCTGTAATTTGGTTACGACATGTTTTGCTGACAAGTTTTCTATGCTCATCAAGACTATTGTCCTAGAAGTTATTGATCACGTCTGCCAGATTTGATGTTTGGCTCTGTGGTTTATTCCTGAAAGGCTAATTAGCTTGCTTTATGTGGTTAATGAAATGCTCAAACCTTAACGATATAGAGCTCGCATCCCCGGTATTTTATTTGCCCCGAGTCTGTCCTCTACATCATTTTTTCTGCATAATTAATCATATGTCACTGGGAGATCTTGTTTCTCAGCAGGACCCATTCCTGTAGAGCCCACTACATACTTTTTTTTCCTCTCTCTCTTTCTCTTCTCCACAGACGGACAATTTCCCCACTGAGCCTAATTATATGGGCAGCAGACAACAGTTTGTTCAAAGGTAAGAGTTGGGATCTATAACCGTCGCTACATCTCAGACCTTTGTTTTCTTTCCGCCGATAGTCCCAACACAGTAGCACAGCAGTAGCCGCAGCTAAACTGACAATTCATTGCACTTTGTCATAGCAGGAAGAAGAAGGTCATGTTCATTTAATTAGGTTTAAAAGTGGTCACTAACAGTGTTCTCTATAATACATAAAACATAATCGCACACAAGATGCTTCCTTTTTGTTTCATCTTAAGGAGACAGCGGAGTATTTTTAGAAGCATTTTATCACATCCTAAATCCTATTATTATATTTTCCTCTTGTTTTTACTTAAGCATTCAGGGATGCTCATCAATGTTTCATTCTGTTTGTAAACTTCCTCTGATGGTTTAAAAAAAAAAAAAAAAAGGCCTTGGAAAAAAAAATCCACATCCAAACACTGCGTTCTAATACGTCTTTCTTTGTTCCTGTTCATGTGTCTAGTAGTTCAACATTCAAAGACCCAGAGCGAGCGAGCCTCAGAGACAGTGGTCATGGGGACAGTGACCAGGCTGACAGCGACCAGGACACCAACAAAGGCTCCTGCTGTGATATGTCTGCGAAAGAAGCCCTCAAGTTGAAGGCTACAGGCGTCAAACCACCACCTTTGGAGCAAGGTGAGGCCTTCAATGGCTAATACGAGCGCATGAGAAATGAAAGACGCGAGGCAGATGAATCAAATGACTATCAATGTGTTTTGTGTTTCTGCTGCGGTTATTTGTATTAACGATTGAGCCACTGATTTGCCTCAACACTCACAATCTGAACTTATACTTGGCTACTTTATTCTCCCTTACTTTGTTCTCTGCACTTTTCTCATTTAATGTGTGTGTGTGTGTGTGTGTGTGTATTTGAGGGTGTGAGCGAGTGTGCATTCTATACACGTCCTCAGTTTATCAAAGCAGACAAGCCCATTATGTTTTTATAAGCCCAACTACTTCAGCCTCTCCATTTAGTCCCCCTTCCCTGAGCACCCGTCTCTGAAACTTTGATAATGGAACATGGAAAATGACTTAGTGAGCGGCAGGAGATGTAGCTTCGTAGTGTGGTGATTAAATATGAATAATTATTCTAAGCGCTGTGGGTCGGGCAGATTACACATGACATGTGTAGAACAATAACTCCCCAGATATGAGTTGTTGCAGTCCTCCCCACCCCAGCCACCTCACATGATTAGTGCAGGGTCAGGGGAGGCAAGGAAGCCGAGATTATATAGAAAGAAGTAATGGGACAGGAGGTGGTATGGTAAATGTCTCACTGCAGCTTCATCCAGTCATGTATCTCCGTGTGGGCCATTACCTGCTTGGCAAAACAGATATTCCCGCAGAAATAAAAATTCACTAAAGTCTCAACACCAAGAAGTATGTGTCTCACTGACTGGATCCAGAAGTACAGTGCAGTATACTGAACATGGATTCTGTGTAATGGTGCTATTAATCCAAGGAACAGACGGGCTGTTTTACTCTTTGCGGAAGGACAGCGACAATTTGTGCAACACTCTGTGCTGCAATATGCATGTCTGACTAGATCGCATTTTTTTCTTTTCCATTGGTTTTTAGAGTAAAAAAAAAAAAAAAAAAGCCACACACGTTGGCATGAGAAATTGGCCAATTAAAAAGCTCCATATGTTTCTCATTTTGAAAATGTTCCTATTTAATTGTCCATGAGGGACTGAAAGAATCACATTTATACACATGGAACACATGACAAGCTGAGCCAAGAGTGTGTTGGGCAGCAGTCAGTTAAAACCGTCCCAATACAACATAGTTTGTGGACGTGTACTGCTACTCCCTGATAGTGCCAACCACAGCCAGTCCGTCCACCTTTCTGTTTGCTGTGTGTTGTCTTCGATCAGTATCCTTTTGACGAAATTGTCACAACCGTACACAAACACACACAGACAGAAACCCGGCGCTGGAAACTCTGGCTGCAACCTGTTCCTCACTCACCGCCGCTTTCCCATTTATTGTCACACTCCGCTGTGCTTTCACCCCCGCTCCGCGACTTTCGTTCCACTTCTCCACCTCTCCTTGTTTGGGGGGAATCGATTGATGCGAGATTAGACAGTTAACTGGCTGCAGCTGGCTGTGTTTAGCCAATAACATGCAGGCTTAGCTAAGATGTGGGGGAGGGTAGGGGCAGGAGGCCGAGGCATGGTGCAAGAGCAGTGATGAGGAGTGAGAGGTGGTGAATAGCGCTCTGGCAGTTTTCCAGTGCATCTTTATTAAGTTGCAAACACACCAGTTGAATACTCCACAGCAACAAATTATACCTCACTCTGAGTTAATATTTACACCAGAAAACAATATCACGGCGTGATCTCCTGCACCTCAGATTACAATGTCATCTGCTTAAAAAGGTCTGTTTTCGTGTTTTATGTCCTCCTGCTGTTTAAGATGAACCACAAGACGGTCACCTTGCGCCTGGTAAGCTCAAGAGAAGTCCCATCTGCTGCTTTGTCTTAAACAGTACACCTCATGTACAGGTAATTTATCGTAGTAATTTTATGGCTAATTAATGAGGCTCAGCAGAAAGAGAAAGCGAACGGAGGAAACCTGAGCTGTTGAAGGACTTATGATGTAATGTGCCGCTCTGCTTTCATGCATCTGCGGTTTAGAAAAAGCTTCCCACGTGCATGCACTTGAACTGTACACATGGAGGCTCACAGGTATGTCTATTATCAGATGGGATGAAAAAAAAAAAAAAGGAAACGGGAGCTTGTCATTGGTCACTCTCCCTGGGGTCGATTTCCTGCAGGCTTATTTTCTTCACATCTCAGCACTTAGCATCTACTTCATAGGTCTCCCTCTATCACCCCTCCTTCCCTCCTTCATCCCATCTTAAGTCCTCCGTTTCTCTCCAAGCATAGCCCTCCCAATTACTCTCTGTAGCTCTCTCTGCTCGCCTGCCAGGACTCTGCGGCCTCATTCACTGGCTCAGTATAAATAGAACTACAAGTGCACAAAGCATGTAGTTCAAGTCCCAATCAATCCCCAACCCTGTTTCAGTTCTTAGCCTTTATAGTCACTAGGTTGTAGCCTACAGTGTACAAACAATTGTGTCTTCCTCTTTTTGATTTTGCCATCCTTCTCTTTTCCCTCTCACTTCTACCTCTTTACCCGCAGTTTCTATCCTCATGCTCTCCTGTGGTAAAAGGCATTTTTATTAACCTTTATTTATACAGGTAAAATCTCATTGAGACCCAGGGTCTCATTTACAAGAGAGACCTGTTCCAGGTAGGCAGCAGCAGAACACAAAGTTACAGACTAACTGAACATACAGGAGACACACAAACATTAAAGTAGTATAGTGCAAACTACAAAGTGCAAAGAAGAATAGGACTGGTTAAGCATATGTGCAGACCCCCGCAGACTGTCTCATCAGCCTTCCTACAAGCAATTTGATGTCCCCTAAAGGCATTGGTAGAACAAACACACAATCTCATCTTCATCTTCTTCTCTGATGTTTGGTACGGTTTCCTCCCCAACAACATAATCTGGACATCTTCGCACTGGGGACCGGTCTCAAATTGATTAATTAGCCCTGCAAAATTGGTAGCAAAGTATTAATTAGGCTTAAGTATATCAAATGCATTTTTTTTTTGCCAGTTTTAAACGGCGATTAATTGATGCTCCAGCGCGCCTGCAGCAGACGTTGATATGGGCTTGTCTGGCTCCGGCGGAGTGGCTGGCAGCACATCGCTCGCCTCTGTGGAGATGACTGCCATAGTCGCTATCATGAACAGACAGGCGGTGGTGGTGTAGGGAGATGTTACCCACTGATAGGGCTGTCCGAGGAAATGGAGAGAGAGGGATGATGGAGGGGGGGAGGAGGAGCATGGAGGGACACTGTTTGACAGGGATACTGTTTGACTGTACCAGCTGACCTGTCCTAATTAGCTGCGATTGGAGCGTGATAATCAAGCTGCCTGCCTTGTTTTTAAAAGTGAGGCATGAGTGGGACGGAGGAGGAGAAGGAGGTGGTGGTGGTGGGAGGAGGATGTGATACCACAAGGACAGCATGGTGGATCCAGTCAGGAGCGACAGCATGAGATGTGTTTCTATGACAGCGCAGTAGAAGGCGATGATATTGACTTTTCCCCGTTATTTGTGGCAGGGTGATAGAAATCTCCACCCCCACACCGTCCCTCAGCTCGTAAATAGCTTAAATAAGGGAAGTGTCATGATTTGTGAATTGCTCTCGCACACGCAAACCTTTGGCACATACACACCCAAACGAAGATGCAGATGCGCACACAGGCATGTATACTGTACACAAATAAATGATGATGCTGCATAATTAATTGTTACTCATCAAACCCTGTGTTTATGTGATGCCTGGCTTCTCTGTAGATGTTAAATAAGTTATGGCGGTGAGGATGTCAATGAGTTTGCTGAACTTATAATTATGTACAGAATATGTGGCAAATGTATGATGTTCTTAAAACATATTATCTCTCTGTTTGGTCGCAGGAAATCTTAAAAAAAAGATTTTGGTGACGTTTGGCCAATGACAGACATACTGTTTCAGTGACATTTTGTTACAGTGTGGACCTTTATGTCGTTCATGCAGCACTTGCGGACTTATAACTCGTTTTACAAAATCTCAAAGGCTTAAAAACCTTGATTGATGAAACCTTAGTTGTGTTTGACTCTTTTCGCAAGGTAAAAAAAGAAGTATTCATAACGCTTTACTTGAAGGTATCTACATAAGGGTGACATGACACTGTCATAACTATGACATGACACGGTCATGAACCTGTCATGAACATTATGTACATGTCATAAACGTTTATGACTGCTGTCATTAAGTGTCATTAACACAGTTTTTGTAATGACAAGTTGACATTGTATGGGTTGTCTTGATTATGACAACTTGACATTAATCAAAGTGACATTACCAGAAGTTGTCTTTGTCATGACAAGTTGACATTAAATTTGTTTGGGATGTCCTTATTATGACAAGTTGACATTAACCAGGATGACATTACCAGCAGATGTCTTTGTTGTAACACCTTGACATTAACAAGAAATGCACCTCTGTTTGTGTTTATGACAAGTTGACATTAAATTTGTATGGGATGTCCTTATAATGACATCTTGACATTAATGTAAAGACATCTTCTGGTAATGTCATCCTGGTTAATGTCAACTTGTCATTATAAGGACACCCCAAACAAATTTAATGTCAACTTGTCATAACAAAGACAACTTCTGGTAATGTCACTTTGATGTCTTAATCAAGACAACCCAAACAATGTTAACTTGTCATTACAAAAACCAAATGACACTTAATGACAGCAGTCATAAAGGTTTATGACATGTACATAATGTTCATGACAGGTTCATGTCCATGTCATGTCATAGTTATGACAGTGTCATGTCACTCTTATGTAGATGCCTTCAAGTAAAGTGTTATGGAAGTATTTTCGATTTCAAAAACTTGTACGTGGGATTTTGCAGCCAGAGCTTTTGAGTGTTGGTCAAATATGGACGTTGTGCTGACATAACAACATCGCAGGACAACTTACTGTAAGTATATTATATGAGCACACTGCTGGGAACGATGAGAGCTCATTTATTCTTTTAGATATAAGGCTGAAGAATTTCGCCTCTGT